TGGTATCACACAAAATCATGTATTTTGTAATTGACAAAAGACGACTTTCTGGTATATTAGATGTAAAATCTTTCACAGGAGCTGACTGTGATACCGACCATCACGTGGTAGTGGATTAAGGGTGAGACTTTCAAAAGTAAACAAACAAGGCAAAAGGCTTTTGGTCTGTGCTGACGATACTAATCTGTTGGGCGATGATAAAATATTATAAAAGCGAAATCAGAAACACTCTTAAGACTTAGTAGGGATGCTGGTCTAGAAATAAATGCAGAAAAGACAAAGTAAATGATCATTTATTTATGGTGGACGAAGTGGCTTTTCTACAAGTCCTTCGGTTTCCCCCTGTCATAATTATTCCGCATCTGTTTCATATTCACTCATGTGTGATCTAGGGAAGCCTTTCTCAACCTATGGCACGCGTACCACTAGTTTTACGCGAACTAAGTAAGAAAATCAAAACATAATATTAACATAAATAACACGTGTTTTTGTCAACTACTTATCTTTCTGAATGTGGGTTTTGTTCTCTGATTTATATAAAAAGTAATATTTCGATAAAGAACATCATTTGATTTTTAAATATTTTAAATGTTAATTATTGTAATATTTTAATATTTAATAAGAATTTATTGTGATTAGACGGACAAGATTTAATATAATATATATTTAATACATATAAAAAGTAAATTCAGAATATAAGCTGAATGTTGAATCCAATTTAAGGCTGAAATTAACTGAAATGGAACCTGACATACGAAAGTACAAACTTCGCACTGAAGCCTAAATTGGTTTGTTATGTAGTCAAAAATGAGCTTTTTTGTTCAATATGAAATCGTCGTAACATTAATTTCCACTATTAGGCATTTGAGTAGTTATTAAACTATTCACTACTTGAGTCTTATTTTTCCAGGGTTGCCAACCATTAAACCGCGAAGTTCGGTGTCATTTTATTAATACTACGTAAATCACAGGCCTTCGGAATCTGAAATATTCGTAACTACGTCATTTAAAATTTGTATTCTTCTTTTATACGTGAAGGCATGTTGGATCGAAAGGTGTTATGTGAAAAAATGGTATTGACCTCACTTAATACGAGTCTTGGGTACACGATAATGAATATTCGAGTTCAATAGAAGACATTGAATGTTATTGGTTGAGCGACTATCATCATTTTAGTGTATATATTGCGTGGAGTTAGTCTAATTAAATTAATAGCATAGCTTTTGGTACATGACAAAGTCTAAACAAATAAAATATCTGTTCACAGGTATGGAATTATGACATCATCAGTTCCTGGACAAATACACTCCATCATCACCATCAGTATTATATCTCCCTCTACACGAAGTACGTGACCGTATTCCTTTTATGTTTTCGTCTATTTTTGCGAACAGTTCCACTTGGAAGATGCTCTTCGTGTTTTCCACGCCTCTTTTGTTTTTATCTTTTTCGTTGCTGCTGGCAAGGTAGAGAGAGAGAGACCAAGCGAGCCGGCCGGGAATATGGCGAACCATATATAAACAAGAGAACGCGAGTGTACTCGGCTACATTCAAGGGCAGCGGCTATAGAAGAAGCATGCGTCTGTTTCTAGCCGTTCTCCTTGCGCTTGCTGCGCACCATCTAGCGGTCGGACTTGAAGATGAAGACGCAAAATCAGGTGAGTGAAACTTTTACGCATTTCATTGCCTGGAAAACTAAATATCGGACTGTTACAAACGTATCAGTGTGTAACACAGACGTTAAATATGCCTACGTAAAGATTGTAGTCTCAAATTAATATTTTGGGGCGATTAAATGAGTACAGACCTCTATAACTGCGTGGAATAGTTTCAACAAATGACAGGATTATTAGTGACAAATCAATTATATATGTTAGAGGAAGTAATCATGGCATTCAAGGTATTGTCTCGGAATTTACCTAAAGGAAATTAAGACTACAAAACCTTTGTCGTGATAGTCGATCCCTCAACTAAGATTCGAAGCTGGAACCTCCCGAACACGAAGCAGGGGTACCAACTATTCGACAGCGACCCTCCCAACCCGGCCATCAAGTCTGTAGCAACACACAAAAACCATAAAATAGCAAGCGAATATAAACTGTAAATCGTACTGGGAGAAAAGCTACAGGCCTGAGGTTTGAATCTCTGTGGGGGCAGAAATATCTCTTTACTACCGCGTCCAGACATTCGTCTTTATAGCATGGTGCTTAATTTAGAACAGATGCAATTTCACCTTTACTTTGCAGGAGAAAAGTACGAAAATTATAAAAGTATATTGATTATAATTAATTATTCTCGGGCTACCAGCCGTGAAAGCTTCAGTATATTGATTTTCGATATTATATACATTGGTATTGTTATGTTACCAGTACTGACATTACTACAAAAATTTTATGTTGCGCTTCAAAATATTTCAAGTTCAGACTCATGTTTCAGTAATAAAATGTCACATAAGATAACAGCTGTGATATACACAACACGTTAATTTCTCTATCTGTCAAATATAACCTCAAATCTCAATATAATTTCAAAGTTGTGTGTCCGATCATGTTCCAGTACCTGCCACCAGACTGCGCTCTGCCGTCATACCTGTGGATCCAGGCACGCGAGTGGTATATCTGGTGAACCTGGTGAGTGTACCTCAAGACCCCGATACAGCTCTCGCCAGCAATAAGGTGCTACCAGAGCAGGGGGGAAGTCCCCTGACTAGCCTGCTGCTGCTGGCGGCGAGGAACACTGAAGAGGAGGAATACGGTGAGGGCCGCCTTCTTTGCTTCCCCTTATAACTCAAACTCGTCATGCTCTACGTCCACAAATTTGGTCACCATCTTCACTTTTCAGAAACTACCTGGTGCATGTAGAGGTCCCACAGCGACTGGTAAACTGCCAGTCTCCTTACCAACTGAGCCATCAGGCTACTTTATGTGTGTTTGTAACTACAGAAACCAGATGTCTCTGTTTTCAGACAACGGCCATAAATCAGAACTGGAAGTGGCAGCGACAAATGATTCGCGAGATGACGCAGGAACTGCACAAGATGGTGAATCCTCTTTGAAATCCCGCAAGAAGCGATCCTGCATAAAATGCAGTTATGGCGGAGGCGGTGGCGATTAT